CCAGAAACCACTACTTCCCAGAAACCACTTCCCAGAAACCACACCACTTCCCAGAAACCACACCACTTCCCAGAAACCACTTCCCAGAAACCAGACCAGCCCCCAGAAACCACTCCCCAGAAACCACTTCCCAGAAACCACTTCCCAGAAACCACACCACTTCCCAGAAACCACTTCCCAGAAACCAGACCCCAGAAACCACTCCCCAGAAACCACTCCCCAGAAACCACTCCCCAGAAACCACTTCCCAGAAACCACTTCCCAGAAACCACTTCCCAGAAACCACACCACTTCCCAGAAACCACACCACTTCCCAGAAACCACTTCCCAGAAACCAGACCAGCCCCCAGAAACCACTCCCCAGAAACCACTTCCCAGAAACCACTTCCCAGAAACCACTTCCCAGAAACCACTTCCTAGGTTCCAAAACGAGACGAATCTAGGTTCCAAAACGAGACGAATCCAGGTTCCAAAACGAGGCGTCGGCCCTCTCGTGAGGAGCCGGGCTCCGCTACCATGCGAAGCTCACTGGCGCAAACGCGACGATCGATGCCTTTTCGGCAAACGGGGGGGGCGCTTGATCCATGACCACCGGACACGAGTGGACATGTGACTTTGAATGAAATTCTGCATATATATATATATATATGTTACCTATATGTTTTACTTTAAAAATAACTAGATCCCTATTCCTGAAAGATCCAAGTTACTATGACATCTGGGAAAGGTCACTCATCAACATACGTGCTGATTATAATCAATCACTGAGCTGTTACTTGTCCAAATCATCCTATGGTATAGACACCATGGAGTGTATCGGTGTTGAGAGCAAACCAAAACAAGTCCCTTTGGAAGTACCGGAATAGCCTGACCCATGTGGCAACCAACTCATCCTCACAGCATTCTCAAAGCTTCCAAACCTATATATATATATTGTTTAAAGAACATTGTCTTTTCAAAGATGTCCGTCCTGTAGGGAGTGGCACCAAGATTTCTCAAAATTGGGCCTGAACAGCTTGAAGGCTGTTATAGGCCGTCTATTGATGTTGGTGTCTTCTTGCATCATATAAATAAAGGCAAAAGAAGTACACGAAGAGATGCACAAAGAGATGAGAGATCGCACACCTTATCCATATACGTCGTCTCACACAGTCTCTCAACCGCTCTTCATATCTCATCTATGTCGTGATTCGAGCAGACTTTGGACCCACAAACCCTCCGGGACCCACAGCCGTCCCACATGTATCAGCGTTTAACCCAAGCAAAGCTTCAACCAAGCAACATGATATTCACATCTCAAAGTCATCTCTTGCAGTTTGTCCTGCGAAAGGTTTCCATTTCCTTGGTGTGGTGCACGCGTGTGGCGTGCTTGCACGCAGCTTGCAACCCTTGCGAGCCTTTGTCACGATGGATGCACCTATATAATTTCCTAGGACAAAACAAGAACTGCAACAAGATTGTAGACCAAAAAGAGCAACATAAGAGGTATACACATCTACAAATCCAGCTTGACCAGTCCATTGATCCAAAAGGTTTGGGCACCAGCCAGTCACCTGAAAGCGGAACAAAAGGTCCCTAGCATTGCTGATTGAGTCGTCGATGATGAGGCTATCAGGTTTTCTTGATGGAAAAAAAACAAGACATAGAACCTCAGTGAACCTTAACATGGGCTCCTAAGAACTTGTAGTATACACTAAAGATCAGATTCATCTTCCGTGTTTAGTGATTTGAGTGTCTCCTATGAGACTCCTTTTGCAGCCTCTAGCACCTGTGCTCGGTCAGATACCTCTGCTCGGTCCATCCAACGGTCTGAAGCCCTCTCCAAGGGTCTCAGGAGCCACAGGAAGCCCTCGCTGTCGTCGATGTTCAAGGCACATCGGCCACCCGAACGGCTCGTCCACCTCCACATGAACCAGTGAAGCAGTGAATGGAGCACGCAGTGAATGGATCTCCAGAGGTTTGAACTCAACGAACCTCGACAATGAGCATCTGGGAGAATCGTTTCTTGAAGATCCTTGGGTTAGGTCTGCAGCAAATCAATTCGCTGCAATCACGGTCACCACCTTTGAGGTTTCCGGAGGTTTCCCTCTATGTGGCACACGTTCCAAACTACAGTGGACAGGATTCTAGTTGCATGTTGTGCGATCTCGTGACTTATGCAAAGAGTTTGTGCCATGCGAATTGTGTGGTTTCTTGTTTTTCTACAGCATCTAGGGGAAAAGAGAAAAGGCAAACAGCTGGATTTCAACCAAATCATCCAGCTGCATCGACATATCATGGCTCCAAGCCACTGACCTTTTGGAATCAGCAGTAGTCACATGACCTTCTACTGTCCACTGCAGTCGCGCCTGCCGCTGATGCTGTCTTTCGACGGATGCACCTGTGCAATTCAGCTGGGACGGAATGTGCCCGGTCTCCCTTGCCCAGCATCTTGAGGAGCCTAGAAACTGCTGTGGCTGGATAGTTGTGTCTTGTGATGTCTTGTGTGCCTTTCTTAAACTTAATCCACCAGGGGCAAGTATCAGACCCTTGCTTCAAACTCTGCATGACAAGGACTTCACATCTTTCCTTACAGGTGTTGTATGGTTTTGTGGTGTCCGAGATGCGAGCCCGTTCAAGCCGTACGATCTTCTTTCTCTCAGCTCAGCGGCCGAAGGGTCTGCGCCGCTCTTTGTCGCTGGCCCCTCACCGAGCCCCCTACCAGCCCCTTTCAGCATGGCCGTTCCAAGATTTAAGATATCAAGATCTCAAAGTGAGATTCGTGTCCAAGAAGCTACTTGGGGGGTCCTTGCATCGCTACTAGGAGTAAGAAGCTACTAGGAACAAAGGGCATCACTACTAGGAACAAGAATTCTACTAGGGGCTATTCCATTTGTGCGTCTCTTCACATTTAGAATCCTTACTTCCAGGAAACAAACGAAACCCCACTGGGCCCATCAACCGTTTTTTACAATAAGTAAGACCAGCTCCCAGGTCAAATGTGGGTGGAACATCTTTTCCCCGTGGGGGGGGGCCCGTGCAGTCGAGACGCCTCTAGTCTCTAGAGCCTATATGGATCTCTCTATTCGGAAGTCGTTCAAGCCTGCCGGGCAGGGAAGTCAAAAGAAGTTTAAACAAAAAAACACATAAACAAAACTCTTCTGTAGCCCACCACTTGTCGCAACTATATTGTCCAAAGCCCCCATGAGGCATCTTCAAAACAACTTGTGGACAGAATTTAATGGAATGGCCATGAGATATCGGCGGTGCTTCTTGTGGCATCCTAAACTAATCGTCGACAAGAATCGTAGTGCGGGTCCAAGGCAGTGGATCTTCACTACCACTGTTCATCCTCGAAGTATCCAGCGTCACTGTCTTGTGTGAGCCCAATAATACACATTAGTGCTATCAATAGAACAACACAGTGCGCGGTCACTTCGGCTGAATAAGTCTTGTACAGCTCTGCTCCGGCAGCTCAAGCATATGTTTTTCAAGGTGCTAAGACACAGCCACAGCGGCGGAGTTCGTGGTTCAGCGTTCAGAACGACGTGGTGTCGACTACTTCATCGTCACATCAATGATCGGCAGGACCTGGACGCATCGGTCCGGCAGGTGATGGAATCAAACATGCAAGTTTAGAAACTGGATGTGTCTAGCTGATTGAAGATGATTCGCGACCCTCAAACAAGAGACCCCCAGGCCAAGTAAAGGCCTTTTCATGTTGGGGTTGAATCGCTTGAATTGGTCGTTGAGGTGCTGTCTGAGATAACTACCCCAAAATGTTGACATATTCACGTGATCTGATTGTCCCGATCGGGTCTGCCGTGGCAACTTGTTAGGCCCATTCAGGTTGAACATGTTTACACCAATCATGACGGAGCTCGACTTGCCCAAATTGACCTGCGTCATTTGTCCGGATCACACACATAATGCAGAATACATAAATGATGTGTTCAAAGTTGATACAAATTCAAAGCCTTGATCTATTATTCGCAGTGAGCCAGCTTTACCAGAATTATGATATTTTATATCATTGAAATTGAATGCAGTACTGCTGTCCCAACAGCTGGCAAGCTGGCATTTTTTGCTCACTGCCTAGAGGAGTCGAATGGACCCTTTAGGCTTTGGGCGACCAATCGACGTGGTGAGTGGTGACGTCACGGCGTAAGGATCGTCTGCCACCCACTGCAGTGGCTCCACGGTGGATCCGTCGTCGAACCTCGCCCGCCTCCGAGTAGCCGGCAGGCAGGGTGAAGACTTCAACGATGGGCTCCTGGATGAGGTCTGTGGGTTTCTGCTGGTTGTGTCTTTGTTCGTCACAAGGTCCACCATCAAATCAAACATGTTCGTGGGTCTTCGCTATGTTTTGACCCAAATTGGCAAGTGCCCCTGTGTTGATTCCTTCACCAGGATGTGGACTAAGAGCAATGTCCAACATTCCTCCAAGTTCTTGGGGAAGCCTTCCAGATTCACACAATGTTTCTGGTCTCCGTTGCTTCGTTTGCAATCCAACAATCACCAAGCAAATAACATCCACTACTGCAATTGTAGATTTATAGAAATTGAGTTTTGATGGTTACAGAGTGAATCAAAATGATTTCGATGCTTGGGATTCTTTCCAAATGAGACTTTCTCATGCTTTCGGCATCCGATTCCGTGAGTTCAGTCCTCTACGGGGATGCCTGCCTTCATCTGGCGGATCAGCACAGTCCCGCGCGAGGCACCCATGGCGCCCGAACTGAAGTATTTCACCCCGACCTGGGTGGGGTTTCGGCATCGAAGACGGTGCCAATGGGAGAGGTGTTGGTAGGAGTCCTCGTCGGTCGCGTGGGCGATAGAAGCATTATAATGACCCCAAACATGATGATTGATAGACCAGGAACGAGAGGAGTTTTCCACATAGACCCCCCAACCTACCCCGTCTTTGCAGAGTGGTTTTAAGGCCCCTAACCAGGACCAACAACCTCAAGTTGACGGATTGGCGGCTTGGGTTGAGGATGCTATTATTATCCTCCCGATCCTCTCTGAGTCTCTCTGGCCGCAAGAGGAGCAAATTCGTCTATTGTAATGGCTTGCTGCACCACAAAGCCGAGGCGCCCGATATGTCCCAGGACGTTGAGCCGACAACGAGACCACTTCGGGGCCAAGCCCTTGCGTTTGATCGCTGTACAAACGGAGGCCCAGGGCGGTCTCTCTGTGGCCGTAATAGCATTCCTGCAGCGGTCTCTCACTGGAAAAACCGTATGTTGGCGGAGCAGGGTATGTTTGCTGCGAACGTGATTTGAGGAAATTCATTCAATGACGATAGACATCGGTAGACCATAAAAAGTGACACATTGAATCTACCTGCGTGGTCGGATGACAAGTGCATTCAGTGTAAGCAAGATCGCTGTGTCTTGTAAACAAATCAGGAGACTTCCTTCATACCGATGCATCCGACTGGACAAAGGTGGCACCACCGTTCCAAGAAACTCATTGTATTTGTATACAGTTCACCCGATTCGCCCGATGACCGGGTCAAAAAATAGATCACAGGATTAAAAACATGATTCGATGTTATGAATAGACTGTGGTACCCTAGGTCCTTTAGAGTCTGTTGTGAGCCATACAGCCATACTGACTGGCCATACTGCCATACTCGTTTTCCACTGCACCGCAAGTGGGTGGCCCGAACCCAACCAGTTCGGTTAGAAAAATGCGGGCACGACCAATGCCCGTGGCCGTGGCGACTCACAAAATCAATCAAATTCTAAACTTGGGACTTGCTCCCCAAAAATATAAGTCCTACTTGATCCTACTTGCTTGCACCCTTAGGCCCATTGAACAAATAGTTTCATGCTAGCAAAGTGTAGCCCCTATTCTTGTGATCTAACAATGTTCAATCGATTTACAGTATAATATACAGTAGTTCTGGGCTGCTTTCTGGCCCTCCGGGAAGAACACTTGCAATCAACCTTCGAGGTGGCATTTGCTTGTGCTGGTCATTAGCGTCCAAAAAATACATTCGTCAACAAAGGAGGAATCACATGGGATGTTTGGATGATGATCCCCGTATCTTGATTGTAAGCCCAAACAACTATCTCACGCCCATCCGACCCGTCCTCTCCATTGGGATCAATGACGTGAAGGTCCACATCATTTGCATCCGTGAGCCACGAGAGGGCAATCCACAGAGTGATCCCTGAGCCAATCGATGGAGGACCCATAATGAACAATTGATTTCGGGAACGTGGGGAACCGCAAAGAACATGTGTTGCACTGTGGGACCCCTGTACCCAAGGGTCCCACTCGGTTCTGATCTGATTCGAACAAGGGGCATGCGGCTATCACGCAAAACGAATGCCAACGAAGCTTTGCGTGATAGTGGAAGCCAGGTCTGATCAACCTGGTGTACCTGCCTTGAACACAAGGACTCCACTGGTACACCCTGCCGCTGTGTTTTTGTTTCCATGGTGATTCATGATCCTTTCCCCTGAACTGCAGCCGCTGAATCGCTTCTTCGTCGCGCCGCGTGCAGCCGATCGACCAGTTCTTGAAACAATACCTATTGCTGATCTTTCACCTTGCGGTTCCATCAAGCCAAGTGCCTTGCTTTACTGAAGACCACTCGAATGAACTCTTTATCGAAGTGTGCGTGGTGCGCGTGCACTCCCCTCGAGAGGAATCCTGCGCGCATGACAGCCCTCAAAGATTGACCTCGTACTTGCCTTTACAAAGGGTCCATTTGCACGTTCCGTGAAGCGGGTGACAGCCGATTCTTTCGATTCATCCAACATCATCCAACGGTCGATGAGGATTGGACTTGATTTCATGGTTTGCTGATCAATCGCCTGCATGGAAGCACGGCCCCCCCCCTTTTCACAAGCTTGTGCGCAATGGGAGCCTAGTGGTGAAGCCAGGTGATCTTCTGCGTGTTCTGTTTTTTTTCAGAACTGACCTCAAAGGTAGTGGGAGTGTTGGTTTTGGGGGGTTCATCACCATATCCTTGTAGTCCTAAGAGTTTCCAACGCATCCCGATCACCAATACAAGGGTTGAGCAGTTGAGTCCAAGTCTGTTGCAACACTACAGACTCATCCTGCACATCAGGAAAAAAGAATCATCACCAGCAATCCATGAACACGTCGATTTTCCGTGGTTTTCGCGTTTCAGTTTGAACTTGAACTTACCTTGTGAATCAGGGGACTATTTGAACTTTGCCTTTGGAACTTCTTGTGTTGGAGTGTGAATCCTCAGGTTTTTGCGTATAGCGTAGAACACTGGTCAACTAAATCAACTGACCACAACTTTGCATGGTCAAGTTGGCCCAAGACTTTATCTGGGGCATGTCATGTACCACCGACAGGGAATGATCGGGCCTCACAGGCCCGGGCTGATAGGGGCAGCATATTTTTTGTGGGCACTGGGCGCAAGCTTTGGCGCTCAGATTCCCGACACCTGTGACACTTCCTGCGCTACGTGGCCCTGCCATGGTCAATAGCTCGGTGAGGTACCAGTGCCCCGTGGCGTCCGCTGCCGCGCCGAAGACCTTGCGCCCAGGGCCCGCGCTGCGATCGTAGCGGTGCCAGTGCATGGAGGCAAGACGCTGCGCAATATCGGTCTCGCCATCCAGAAAGAGCGGCGTGCAAACGAAGGCCTCGTCCACCGCCAGGACCCGGCCCATCGCCGAGCTCCTGAGGATGGAAAGCTCTATGGCTCTATATATATATACGGTTGCAATGGTGGGGGAATCATTGACTGTAGAGACTGGACTGACAATGGATATAATATCAATCAGTGGTTCTATCCGATTGACCCCCAATGCATCCCCAACCTCAAATCTTGTGGAAGCTTCGCCAAGAGCTCTTCAATGCTTTGATTCCAGATCTGCGGCCGTTGTCGGTCAGAGCATTGAGGGTTGCACAGCGGGAGAATGAAGGGGGAGAGTTTCGGGAGCGCAAAAATGATTTTCCTTGTCTTCTTCTTCTTGAAATATGCCGGTAGCGCAGAAGCGAGTAAAGGCTGATACACGAAGGGTGGTTGGCCGTGGGTCACGTCAGGCCCATCGTGCTGGATAACCAAGAGATCAGGCCCTTCCCAAATCAGGCGCTTCAAGCGTTCAAAGGCCACAAGCTTGATTTCCTCCGGGTAAAGCCAAATGCGATAGTCTTGAAATGAGAGACGCAAGTTGCCAACTTGGAAGTCTAACCATCCCCAACATTTGACGTTGGTCCCCAAGCCCGGCACGTTCTGAACACCCACGAAGCTTTGCCAGGCTTCAGGCACCAGTTGGTCCACCAAGGCTTGCAGGGTTCCTCTCATCACTGAGTTCCCTACAATCACGAGCCACAAGGGAGGTGGCTTGGACTGGCTGGTGACGTGTGGCTGCTTGCTGACCCTTTGAAAACTTTATCATTGACCTTCTCATGAACTTCAGCAGGAGTGTGGACATGCCAGTGGCAGGTCTTAGAGACCAGGGTCCATCCATCACGAGGACACCCCCAACTGCACAAGCCACTGCTGGTGCGCACCCAGCGTCCTTCCAAGGGGTCCACTCCTAACTTACAGCGGCGTCGTGGTAGTGGCTGCGGCGCTGCTGGTGTGACTTGCAACTGCCGTGGGCTACCTGGAGCTTCAGTGAAGATGAAGGGACGGACTTTGGGCTGACCTTGGATTTGCTCATTTAGCAACCGGGAAGAAATAACACATCTTCGACATCTTCCCTACGCTAGGGGGTTCACACAGTTCAGGAAAATCAAGCTTCACATCTAATCGCCCTTCAAAACCAAGTGACGCCTCTCTTGCAAGGTGATGCCCAGCACATGCGCCGTCCATTTCCCCGGTTCCAGCGGCCCCACGCGCGCGCTCAGGCGTGGCCATGTCCGCCGAAAAGTGCGCTGTCGGAGACCAGCCACACGAGCACATTGGATCCGTTGAGCGATCCCGCTTTGGATCCGGTGTCGTTGACCACCAAGATCTCGATGACCTCCCCACGCTTCACCGACAACTTCGCCGGCCACTTCACCTTCAGCCCAGCACTGGGCAGCTCCGGGAGCTGCAGCTCCAAACTCTCCGCGCAACATCCATGCCCTTTGGGCGCCGCCCTGGCTTTGGCGGCTTGGCGCGCCTCGCGCAGCACTGCGGCACGGGCGGCCGAGCTGCCGTAGCGCAGGGCGTAGGTGGAGGCGAGCGCCAGCGCAGCGGAGGCACTGCATGGCGCATCCAAGCGGATATTCTCCACAATCTTCACAGGGTTCTGCACATCTCTCCCCTGCTATGGCTTGGAATGATTCTGGAACTCATGTTGATGTGAGAGTTGTCTTCCTGAGAATGGTTCCTTTCCTCCTCTTCACTAACTGGTATGTCTTGGTTGCATGGAGACTGGACATTCAGGGAGTCTTCATGCATCCAACTATTAATCTAATGGGCTGTATCCCGAACAACCATTGCTTTACAAAGGATTTTAGGCTCCACTCAACTCTTCGACTGGTCAAACAGAAGTCCAAAAGCGGGTTAGCTCACTTTAAGAGAGCAAAGGAATTAAAACTGCATCTAGCAGCCTAACTCTCAGCTCAGCGACAATCAAATTTACTACTACTCATACTAGCACCTATATTTATGAATACCTTTATTGCTATTGTATAGTATTCAGAATTTTATGGCTAACTTAGTCCTAATAGATCCATGTAGCTATCTTTCTAAATGTCTGTACCTAGTGATGTCTCCGATCTATTTATCTATCCATCCATCTCTATCTATCTATCTATATCTATCTATCTGTCTATTGATCTATCTATCAATCTATCAATCTATCTCTAAATATTTTTCCCGAAAGACTTGGCCGAAAGGGCTCTTACTAAAGGCTGACACATCTACGACTGCATTTGCAAGAGTCTAGCTCAGGCTTTAAGCGCTTGTATATTCAAGCGCTTGTAAAACTATTGCACAGGCTTTAGCACTTGTAAGAGTCCTGCGCTGGCTTTAGCACGTGTAAGAATCTTTTGCACAGGTTCTAGCACTTGTGAGAATGTTGCACTAGCCCCGGCAACTTTTCTACATCAAGAAGGAACCGGAGGATTCTATAACCAAGAGGGAGGAAGCTACCTAGCGCCAAGGCTTTTTCGAACTTGCACAGCCTGTGCGAATTCTGGTGGCAGGCAATGACTTCGAGAAAGCTTCTTGGCGCTAGGTAGCTTCCTTCCTCTTGGTTATGGGCTAGCCATGGCTAGCCCATTTTTAGCAGCGTTTTGGCTGGGCTTAGGTTGGGCTAGCCGCCCCATTTTTAGCAATGCTTGACGCTACAAAAAACACTATCTTTTCTGCATCAAGAAGGGACCAGCCCTAGGCGGATATCTTCTCTACATCAAGAAGGAACCGGAGGATAACTTTCCACATCAAGAAGGAACCGGCCACGTCCACCAGAATTCGAGCTTCTTGGCGCTTTTCTAGCCCAAGGAAGCTTCGAGGTTATAGAATCTTCCGGTTCCTTCTTGATGTACAAGCCACCACCAAGGAAAAGCCACCAAGGACCACAGCAAGTGAAGGTGGTCAAACAGGTCCAGGTTGCGGTGAAGGTCCACATCGTCGCCCTGGCGTAGCCGAAGGTCGTCCCTTCGGTGCTGCGGAAAGCTTGGGCAGGTCAGGGGCGGCAGATGCGGCAGGTTAGGGGCGGCAAATGCGTGCGCATGATGCGTGGGCATGTGTTCTCTCATGTTTTTGCAGGCAGTGAAATTGGATGGGACTAGTCAAAGTGGACGTTTCCACTGCAAGTGACAGGGTGGGGTTTGTCAAGCGGCGGTTTCTTACAGTGAGTGACATGACGATTGTCGTCTTCTTACTGCTTGTGGCGCACTGATCTGTGCTAGCACGCTTTCACCGTCACGTGAGGAGTTCTTATTGCGTGGCGTATATTGTTTCAATATGTGTCTTTTCCTAAACAATGAGTGTGTTACTTGCAAATACAAACAGCTTTTGGGCGGGTGTCCTTTCTCAGCGGCCGACTTGGGCGATCTTTGCAATTGTGTTGAACACATAATTTCTCACTTTGCGATCATTTCTCATCTCAAGTCACGAGCCTGGCGAGAAGCAGAAATGACAAAAGTCTAGAAACATATTTAATAGCACACTGCAAAGAAAACACATATATACATAGAAAAAACAATAAATATCTATATACATTTATGAACATTCATTTGCTAGCTCTACCTATTTCTATCTATTTCTTATGGTCACTTTTTATCTCAGAACGATTTAGAGCGGAGTCTTCTTGTAGCCGGGCGCAAGCAATGGCCAGGTTCATTCAGCCATTGTCGCTCTTCTTTGTTTGATAGTGTTTCTGTCCACTTACCTCGGGACCTGTGCGTTTCCTTGCTTCAGACCAAAAACAGAAATTGCAAGAAATGTTGCTGCCCCCCAAAAAGGAAATTGACGTGGAACTCTCAATAGTGGAGAGTTTTGGATTCTTTGATCCACTACACTGTGATTAGCAAAAGGAACCTAAGAGCGATGGCCTCAACCCTAGATGCGATGGCCTCCAACCTAAGAGCAATGGCCTCCAACCTAATAGCGATAAGACCAGCTCAGTACCTGGGTTTTTGGGTCGTTCTTCATTTAGCCTTGTCCCATCCCTCCGTTTCTCTCCTCGCCAAGCCATCCCTCCGTCCCCTCCAACTTTCTGCGGCCTTCACCCTCTCTGGGCGACACCGACTTCAACTCATGGTTGCGCAAGTCATTGTAAACAGCTGGTGAAGAGTCGCCTTAGTGGCACCGACTCCTTGGACTCCGACGAAGTTACCAAGTGCATAGGGCAGATGGGTCTGAAGTCCACTGTTACCATCCACTTGAACATCTCAGGGGCACTTTTTGAGATTGGATTCCTTTGCGACACATCGCTTTAAGACTTTCACCAGAGGCTTTGTAGTTTACAAACCCTGAGCAAGCAAGTTTGCGACCCTCAAAGCACAAGAAGTAGCTCAGTGTGTTCAATCTCGGGGCCCCTTATATTATGATTTGGTTTGATCATTATCATTATACATTATACATGCAATATATTACTAGTTGGAGCTTTAATCACCCCACAGAAGTCAACAACAAACACCATCTGAGGTTCTTTCAGCGGAATAAACTCAAATCAAGCCGTTGTTCAATTGAGCGTTGGACAAACCTAATTCTGTAACTGAGGCACATCTTTAAACTAGATTCTAAATGGTACCCTGACAACAATTTGGCTTGATTGTCCAATGTCCCTTCTAAACTGTATGCGCATTCTTATGTGCATAGTTTTGTCGCTAACTCATTTGATATCGTTTGATAAATAAGTTAGTTTAGCGCTCCACTCCCCACAGACCAACCCTGCCATGGCACGAAGGCTCCGCAGCATCAGTGCCGCCTCCTCCCGCAGCACGCGCTTCACATCGCCATAGCGGCTGTGGAACCCGATGCCCAAGGCCCTCTCATAGGTCTGAGCCGCTGACTTGAAGTCTTGCTCCTACAGGAACGAAGTTCCTATGAAACTGCTGGGTCTCAAACAAAAAAAGGGAGTGGAACAAAAGAAACCGCTTGCACCATCCACAGAATCCCAACTAAGTTTTTGCTGCCAAGCATGTCTTGTGGATTTGGATGTCCACATCTACCACCAAAAGGAATTTGATAAAGGGATTCACTACACTTTCATGTTATCAACTTGGAAGCCAAGTTGACCTGGGGTCTTCTGCGTCCTCTTCTAAACGGGCTGTGGCTTCACCACCTGCCGTGAACCATCAACAGCAGTGTCCAACATCCCTCCCTTTCTCCGTGAGTCCATCAAAGCCGGGGCCGGGTGGGCCAGGAGGGCCCGGAATCCTCCTAAAGTCATATCAAACGCATTCAAATCCATGGTTTTTGAGCTGTAAGGTAGACATGTCCATTTTTGGAACTCAAAAATCTGAGGACCAAGATCAAGTATGGAGGCAAGGATTGACAACCCAGTTCCGGCAAGCTGAACGTCCTGCCAGTAGGCCATTGCCAAAGCACGATACGTGTTGGCATTGTCCTGCCAGGTGCCAAATTTCGAAGACGAGGATGCCTTGCAAATCAATTAGTGGCGCCATCCATCTCCATTTTTCTGGCCGAGTTTTAAAAGGAGGGGTGCTGAAGCCCTGTACCTGCCTCAAAATTTCCAAGGAACACCATGACCTTCACACCCTCCAGCGCGCACCAGCAAATCAAAATTTGGCTGGACCCCGCTATCTGGTATGGGTTCCAACTATCATAGATACCAAAAACAAGGTTTCACGATGTTTCACGTCCGTATGGGCCCCCCGTCTTCGTGTGGGCAGGCCCATCCGAAGTGGCGCTTCGAGCGCTTCAAAAGTCGAAAAAATTGTAGCGGCCTTTTTTTCACCCGTGGTCGGCACGCTCTCAGGTGTTGCGTGTGTGGTGGCGATACGCCCACTGATATACTCTATTCCACAGCCGTGGGTTCACCAATCCTTTGGACCGGTTCTTGCTTTGTGGCGGGATGAATTTCTTCATCCACGACCACAGCCGATCTAGCTGCTGGGTGCCAAAGATCATCTGCTTCGAGTTGACCTTGGCCCTCTCTTAGTCCATTGACTCTTCACATGCTTGACGTGTTTCACAGTCAAGCGCTTCGAAGGGTGCGGCCGACCATGCAAGTGCACCATCTGCACACAACAAAGAACCTGCTCGAACATTCCGAAGCAAGCCTGAGGTCACTATCATCTCAGCACATAAAAAGTCTTTTACTTTTACACCGAGAATCGGGTCCTCCCGCGAACCAGCGGCCCGAGATGGTGTCTGCGGCGCGCTCTTGTCTGACATCCGGCTGCCAAACTCAAAAAAACAACGCCCGACGAACACGCGACTCGACGAAACCACAAACCGACGAAAACACGAAACGACCCAAACACGAACCGACGTCATTTGCCCCCCCCCACCCCCCCCTGAATGACTGTTGGAACCCTGTCTGCTTCAAAAACGTGCAAATTCACGGGGGCCCGTATGGACGTGACACCAAAAACAACATGAAAACAAAAACATCACTTCGCCTAAAAGGAACAATAGGTGCTGGATTCCTGTTGGATGTTGGTGTCCCGCGTGCCTCGCGTTCCTCGAGCGAGCGCAGCCCGAAGCGCCGAGCCCACGCGAGCGCGGAGGTGTCGCCCAGCGAGAGGCTCAACCAGGCGCCGCGCAGCAGCTGCTCGGAGCTGCGGGGGGCCACCTGTGCTCCCAAAGGGCGAATTTGTTTAAGGGTGTCTGTATCGGTAGTGTGACTAGGTCATTACACCACTAAAACATAAGTTTTTCTTCTTGAGGGTTCCAAAGTGAAAATCCTTTTCCTGTAGAATCCTGCAAGACTCTAGGCTAGGACCTAGGACAACTGCGATCAGCGAAGGAAGCGAAAGAGACCTCAGCAATGGAGGAGGCAGCTCGAAGAGACAGCATGGTGTCGCCAGAAAGCCTCAGCTAGTGAGTGGGATGGAACTGATGAAACATTCTGGTGACATGTTCACATATTTTCACTGCATTTGTGCAACACCGCCTACACTCCGGCTCATGAGCCTCATATGAAAGCCGGAGAAGTCATGGCCCATGAGGTAGAACATCAAGTTCTTTTGCAGTTGAGGGCAACAATGCAATTGTGAAGGGGAGGGTAGGGAGGCAAGATGCCAAACCTGGCTTGCATTTCTTTCAACAGAAACATCAGAGTGCTTGCAACCAGCCAATGGAGGCTTCGTAGGATTCACTGGTTTTGTGTGTGTGATCCTTTTTAACCGAGTTTGGACGGGAAACCACACACAAGGACCATTTACAAAAGGAGTGACGTTTGCACGGTTCCTATCTGGAATGACCGTGTTTTGGGGGGGCATCCGACTTCGCCCAGTAGCATGGCTGCCTTACTCAGATATTCAAAGGCCAAGTCGTTGCTGGGATCCCAGGTGATCCACGAGGCGCAGTAGTTTCCTCACGAACCGTCGAGACGGACAGACCCAGGCCGGTGCTTGGCACCCGGCAGTCGGATCAGGCCATCCATGGGATCTGCATCACTTTCAGTAGCCGATAGTGATTGAAAAGACCTATAGGAACAGTGGACCGGTGGATAGTAAGGGTTTCTATCCCTAGAAGCAGTCAGTGGACCAGTCCTCCAGTGCTTAAGAGGATGGAGAGATTTCCGTGGGCAAGCTGCGAACTGCCAGCTTCAGAGTGAGTGTGGTGGTGAACATGATCATGGGTCCATCCTTTAGAAAGCCTGGCTGAGGCCTTCTACCTCATTTGTAACAAAGAGTCAAAGAGTTTTGGTCTATTACTATAGATTATATAGTTCTTCAAGTCGCCCTGGTGAAATGTTATTCAATTCTCCACCGCTCAGCTCAATTCACCCCGATCAGGAAAAAAAACAAAAAACAGCTAGCTCGTTTGGCCTCAGCTTGACATTCCACCCAGCTTCGGAGTTCAGCAGCTTTCCGTTTGGTCCAGAGAGCACCAGCATACCTCGCCTTGGAACTGACATGGTCTAGACCGTGCTACACATGTGGCAAAAAGGAACCAAGCACTCAACAAAGAGGGGAGGTGGGAAAACACACCTCATGTCTCAAATCCTTCAAGAAGGAAATGCAGGTCATACAAAACCAAACTGGAGTTGCTCTAGAGTTCTCAGCAGTCCCTATAGACTTTGCTTGAAGCACTGAGAATAAGACTCCAATCGCCTTGCCCGAGCAATCGTTCAACAAGAAACCAAGCGGCTGCAGTGTCCCTCAAGCGCTCCTTGGGAGGTTCCTGGTGCAAGCGTTCCAAGATCCTTCCGACCCGAACCCACTGTGATGCAGGGATCCCCATGTCGCCGGAACACTAGGAACACAGGACCCAGCTCAGTTGCCAGTCCTGTGTCTGTCTTTTTTGTTGAAGACTCTACATTATGGAGAATGGCACCAATCAACCAATAGCAAAGCTAAACTAAAAGACTTTGGAGGTCTTGAATCTTTCAGATTTAAAGCAAGACAATTTATAGCCTACAGTTACTGTTGTAGTATACTGTATACTCATAGTATGCCGCATGCCCCTATACTAATAGTATAGGTACGGGTACTCAACTCTATTTATTCTTATGATTGCTATATTATATATATAATACCATTGTTTGATTACTATATTCGTTGTACAAGCAACCAAAACAGGGATTCACCCCGCACCAGTCCGCCTGATGCTCTGCCAGCACCTCGTCCGCATCCTTTTCCGGGTCTGACCAAGCAGCGAAGGACGTCACCAGCAAGAGCAGCCAGGTGAACAGGACCTGGAAACGTCTGTTCCCCACTTGGGCCGATAGATGGGTCAGTGAATGGGCGTCTGGGTGGGGTACAACTGATGGTCTCAATGGGTGAGAGGACCTCGTATTGAGGATGATCGGATTCCGATCAACACATATCAACACTTTCGGGCTCCTCCTTTGCATCTTTCTGGGAATTTGCAATGAACTTTCGGCATGAAGTCCACCACATGTTCGCAACGGTTCACCAGCTCATCAGTGCATTCTCCCTGCTTCAACGGTCTGCATTGTCACCAGTCGCACCAAAGGTCTCCCTGCTTCCAGTGGCTGAAAGACACCCAAATGTTGGTCTTCTTTCGACACTAAGGAGTATGTCATCTTATGTCTATTCTTCTCATATAAACTTCTCATGGTCTTCCACTACCACCAAAACAACCACTGCATAAACTGCCGAAGAAAACAAAACAATGCAAAAACATGAACATTCTGCTCCAACTGGAAGGCTTTGGGGCCATTCCACCTCCGATCCACACCCTCTGGTCTGCACCGAGCCGCCGGTCGCCCCGCCGCGCGGGCGCTTTCGCCGGTGGCAGCCAGGTCTGGCTGACCAAGCATCAGGTCAGATTGATCCACCTGGCATGGCTATAGAGGTTGATATATGTGGATTTGGCCCAGCCAAATCGCTGCCAAACAGTGCCCAAGAGCAAAAAATGAGAATATAATAGAATACCATATTAATACCCCCAAATTTGTGGGGATTGGATGGGATTGGTTGCAAGAATTCTTTCCCAAACGTCAACTGGAGGAACCCCCGATCGGCAACTCTCACAGCCTAACACCAAACACAGAACTTAAGGAGGAAAGAATGCATAAGGTCGGACGGTAGCTCCCTGAGGCAGCAGTCAAATCCACAAACGCCCAGCAAATGCCCAGCTGGCCCGCCCGGTCTCCTCTTTCTCCATTTGGCATTCGCTTTGATCCGCCGCGCACTCGGAGCTGTTTGAGAAATTCCAGAAGAGCTCCAGGTCCTCTCCTTCAAGCTCCTGTGGAGTCCTTGGTGTCGCTTTTATTCTTTTAGAGGGGGGGGCCCGTGTAGAGGTGAGATAGGTTAGCTAGGGAGTCGGTAGCTAGTAGAAGTAGCGTTCGTAGAAGCAAACGCTAGTAACAAACGGTAGCTTTGACCTACAAGTGGACGCTACTGCTGACTGGACGCAGGAGAGCTCACGCAAGCTCCCCCCCCGCCTGAGGGCGGGGAGGAGCTTCCTTGAAGAAGCGCTCGCACTATTCATTTGGTTCCTAGATCGTTAGGGACACTTAAGTCCATTGAGTAGAAGGATCCTGCCTGAATTGCTTTCAACGGCTGAGTTTCCAGTTGAGACCGGGATACCGTAAGCATGCCATGTCAGAAGCTCAACAAATCGATTACAAAGGCAGGCTATGCATGGCTATGCAACATTTATACAATAGTTGGACGTAATATGTAGTAGTAATCTCACAATCGGTGTCTGGTGTGACAGTGCACAGCTAACATTCTGACAACAAACTCACGAGGTTCTTGGATGCAGGCTATTCCGATAAATGTGTTTGACGTGGATCGGAAAACGTTTCCACTGCATTATAAAAGTAATATCTGGTGCACTGGGAGCAGGGTGCACATCCATCCTCAGCTTCCCCCAACAAATTCATGCACCCAGCAGGACCGGGCTCATCATCGCCAAGCCTCAAAGGAACCGGCAACGGCGGAAGCGCCGTTTGGATGGCCTCGCGGCTCTGCAATTCCACACCATTGGACGTCACACGGAGGATGGGCGAGAGACGATCCTGGGGGATGCCGAAGCGCACATAGTCCGCATCCGTCTCCAAGACCAACAAGGCCTGAATCATATATAACCAGCACAGATGTTTGGTTGGGCAGAGCTGCTATGGGTTGGGTTGTGAATTTGTCAGTTTAATCTTTTTGTGGCTTTCAAACATGTGTTAGAATTGGGGAAAAAAAACTCGAAACGCAAGTTATGATTATGATCTAGACTTCAATGCTTACTTGCGAGCCATTCTGGCGCAGGATGCTTCTCCTCACAGCAAACAAGTTGGGCATGCACCAGTCTCCAGCCACTTGTTCCCTAGAACACTGCTTTTACAGCTTATTCAAAGCATTTCAAAGCCAAGGTGCCGTGTGTGGTGTCATCACGCGGCTTTCTTCTGAGAGACCTTGGTAGTGTGGGGCCAAAAGGCCCAAAAACCAGCGAACTTGAATGGTGTTCGCAAAACCGCTTCTTGTTTTTCTTACCATCGGCAGGCTCCAGGTGTAGTTTGCTCGAGCTCCTTTGGAATGGCAGCATCAAGAAAGGATCTCATCCCAAATCAACGAAAGAGTTGTGCAACGTCTCAGCATCCCTACATTTGCAACGATGGTCCACTTGGGATCTCAGCACCTTCACCGAGCTCAGCTCACTAAGTTGTGCAACAATGAAATCATATCCATTCCATTAACCCAAGAGCTTTCACTATGCACACACCAAATCAAAAAGACATACGGGCTCATTAACTGTCCCTTCTGCTGTCCACATATCAGTCTCCCTGTTTTGAGTGCTGATTCACCAGCCTAAAAGACCCAGAGCACGCACAATGTCACAAGTCAACAAACAAATCAATATCAAAAGGCCCGCATCCCTTGAACACTTCACGCGTAGCGCTGCAGCAAGTTTGTGTGGTTGTGAGTCGCCCAAGTCTTCTTCCACGCTACGCACCAACTGATCTTCGATCTCCTTTGCCTTTGCTTTGCTGCTCGCTAGCTGCCTCTCCGCCTCTAAGAGCTCCAAACGTGCGCGTGAGGCCTCCAGGCCGGTGGAGACGTCTCAATCAGCGTGTTCAGCTTGAGGGACACACCATGAACGACACACCTGATTTGTTAATGATTTGATTGGTCCAAAGCTTTAATTCATCTTCAGGGTGGTGGCTAAGCATATGTACATGTTATTAGTTTTTGTCATTAGTATCAATATAGGCATTCGATGACAACGACTACTTTGCTTATTGTGAAACTCGTTGCGCAACTGATATATTGCGGCATTGCATGATCTGATCATGAACCTATATTAAACATTATTAAACTAGCAAGTGGGGACACTCATTTCAAATCCAACCGATGCTCCAAATCCAACCCACCTCGCCTCACGTGTTAGCAATGAGCTGAACGCGGCCGCAGCCGCTGACACCGCGCCCGCATTCTCCACGCGGGCACCCAGCGCAAGCGTGGGAGCATGGAGGGTGATGCCTTCAGTCTGCAAGCACCAGGGTTTGAACCCGCAACAGCACGGATCTATGTCGTGTCCATGCCATGTTCTAATTAGGAGGGGTTGGTCATGGGTCTGGAGGTTCTTAAGATTCTTCAAACTCTTTTGCCGAGACAGAAAGTCGAAAGCTGACTCGCACGCCTGTACCACCTCCACTGAAGACCACCAGCTCATCCCCGTCCTTAAAAGCGTTCAATGGGCCGGATGTCAAACATTGCATCACCTCTGATCTGGTGATGGTTTTCGGGAGAGTCAGAGGTCTTGGAAGACACGGTCTTCAAAAAGACTTGCACAGACTATCATGCTAGTCTGCTACATATTGGCGGGATACTGGTGCAGCCTGGCTCAAGAAGTTTCTCAGTGAGGTTGGGAATGTCATATTGGGAGCCAAAATAACGCCGAGGTCCAGATTTGGAAATTTGGATCATCTGTCAAAATGTTTTCTACCTCTACAGTCTCTACAGTCTACGGTCCTTAATTTTATTTGCAATTGGGATTGCTGACATCCATTCCTGCACCCAAAAACACCTTCACGAACCTCAGCGACCAAAACACGTCAACCGTCAACCAATTCCTGATTCCTTCGCCCCAGCGTCATGTAGATCGAAGGCGCTTTGGGGCCACTGCCACGACCCTGAAGAATCAGCCGTGACACGGCCATGGAGGCCCAAGGGCTTCTGGATTTCATTCCAGGCGGCAGAGACCACCGAAGGAAGGTCTTTGGAGGTCAGGGGGGAGATGAACGATACCTCGGTCCGGCAACAAAGCGCACCGGATTGGAGAGTTGGGATACATCTGCTACAGAAATTTACAGAATGTACTTGGTAGAATGAAAATAGTGAAATTTAGCGAACATGGAATTCTGACCTAGCCAACCTACCTATAGCCAATGAAGGACAAAATGAGTCACAACCGGAAGAGGTGAGTTCAGTGGATCCTCAGTAGCTAGGGTCAATGGTTTGTCCAAGCCTGGTCTTGGCTACATGCTTACACGTCAGGCCCTGGAGTCTCCAAAGAATCTCTCAATGAATATTAATGCGCCCGCACCGAAGGTGCCGAGGGCATTGTAGCGGCTCGCGCCAATCGCAAGAAGTCTGCTAGTTTAAATCTTAAGCTTTAGCTTGGGGCGGGGGCCCTCATCGGAGTTACAAACTGCTGTGCTTTACGGTGCTTGTTGAAGATTGATAAATTTGGATCAAACGTTAGCGATGCCGGTTATATGCCTGTGGGACATCGCATTATCGACAACGCGGACGCATATGCAACCCGTGGGACACTGCATTATTGACATCGTGAGTGTGTTCGTCCGTGTGTCCTGCCCGACCGAGACCGAGACAGACCGAGACCGAGACCGAGACAGACCGAGACCGAGACAGACAGACCGAGCCAGACAGACCGAGACAAACAAATGTCTGCATGTATGTCTGTCTGTCTGTCTGTCTGTCTGTATGCATGGATGTATGATGTATGTCTATGTCTGTATGTGTGTGTATGTTTTCCCTTTACTCTTGTGCGGGCGGGATGGACCGCGAAGCGGTTCCGTAAACACTCACCAACCAAATAACTGACACTATGGCAAAAATTCAATCGTCAGTGAATAGGAACATACAACCGTCTGAGGAAAGGAATGTCATTGCCTTTAATCACAAACAATCGGTGGAGGACTGAGTCAAGATCACACAAATCCAAGCATACCCAAACGAAGCTACATCAAGATCATATCTGTGGCCATAGATGTCATATATCAGATCATATATCCCAGCAGCTGTTGATTCGCTGCTGTGCTTTCCCCCGTGCTCCTCCTCCTTCCCCCCCCAAAAAAGAGAGATAACATCCGCAGGAGGCACGGCCGTGGCCGGCGGAGGCCACGGCGGCGCCCAAAGCGCTGTCGAACTTGGTGCCCAAGACGCCCAGCTGAACGATGCGCCGCTGCACCGGAGTCCTCTGGACCAGTTGGCGCGTCAGTCTCTAAGAGGACCAAAGTCTTCGTAATGTAGTGGCTTCTTGCTCCTAGTAGTACGGCCAGGAGCCCCTAGTAGCATCCTTGCTCCTAGTAGCGATGCCCTTTGTTCCTAGTAGCTTTCGAAGTCTTGTAAATTCTCCGTTGCCATTAACTATGGTAAAACTTGACCATACTTACTTGACCTCTTTTTAGACAAATCATGACACCATTACACGTCCCCCTGATCCGTCCGATGCAAGTCCCTTGAGAACAGGGGGACATTCTGCGCAGCAACTGGGAACAGCAAAGAGATTTGTAAATGAACCCCCCCCACCGCTTGACTGAATACCTGGACTTGAAAAATCCCGGAAGTCAATGCTCTCACTGTAAGGAGGGAGCATGCGCACAAAATCACGACTACAACTCCCCATATAATACAGATATAGACTCCGTGCCAAAAATCCTCCTGTCAAAATCCTCGAGGACATGTGGCCAAGTCACAGAAGCTGCCCGAGACGCGCGGCCGCTCTCTCATTTGCCGTAGCAATGCAATCACTGAGGATCAGAATGCCGAGGGTCTCACCTGGGCTCGGCTGAACCCTGAGGGGTCCGCTGACAATCCAAAGTATAGGTAAGCTCAAGGTATACCAATGCACTTGTTGAGTCTTCCAAAAAATATAGGAACCAAATGAATAGAAGTGTCAGCTTCCTGCGTCCAGTGGCCAGGAACTATAAGTTAGCCCTTACTTAATTAAGTCGGCGGGCGCCTAATTAATTCAGTACAGAGTCAGGGCCACGTGCTAATAAAAATTAATCAATTAATTACTTTACTTCGAGTGATCCCCACCATGACATTTCAATCATTTGACTTGATGCCATAGTGAGGAGCATGTTGCCATGGTCGTGAGTATTGTAGTTCTCGATTTTGCTTGTGGGTCCTCGGGTTGTGTGCTGCGGTTGTGTGTTGTGGTTGTGGTTGTGTGCTGTGTTGTGGTTGTGGTTGTGTTTGTGATTGCGTGATTGTGGTTGTGTTTGTGTTTGTGTGTTGTGGTTGTGTGTTTGTGGTTGTGTTTGTGGTTGTGTGTTTGTGGTTGTGTGTTTGTGGAGGTGTTTGTGGTTGTGTTTGTAGTTGTGTGTTTGTGGTTGTGTTTGTGGTTGTGTGTTTATTGTTGTGTCTTTGTGGTTGTGTGTTTGTTGTTATGTTTGTGGTTGTGTGTATGTGGTTGTGTGTATGTGGTTGTGTGTATGTGGTTGTGTTTGTGGTTGTGTTTGTGATTGTGTTTGTGGTTGTGTGTTGTGGTTGTGGTTGTGATTGCGCTTGTGATTGTGTATTTGTGGTTGTGTGTTTCTGGTTGTGTTTGTGGTTGTGTGTTTGCGGCTGTGTGTTTGTGGTTGTGTGTGTGGTTGTGTGTTTGTGGTTGTGTTGTTGTGGTTGTGTGTTTGTGGTTGTGTGTTTGTGGTTGTGTGTCTATTGTTGTGTGATTGTGGGTGTGCGTTTGTTGTTATGTTTGTGGTTGTGTCTTTGTGGTTATCTGCCATTCTATCTGGCAATCTGACATACTATCTGGCATACAGTCTGGCATACTATTTGGCACTTTGTTTTGCATACTATCTGTCATTCTATCTGGCATATCTTCTGGCATTCTATCTTGGCATTTTATCTGGCATTCTATCTGGCATATTTTCTGGCAATGTATCTAGCAATCTATCTGATACACTATTTGGCATACTATCTGGCATATCTTCTTGCAGCATTCTATCTGGCAATCTATGTGGCATTCTATCTGGCATTTTATCTGGCAAACTATCTGGTTGAGGTCCAGCGGTGCACACTGCGATCGGATCCTTTCCAGCGGTGCACACTGCGATCGGATCCTTGCGGTTGAGGTCCAGGGGTGCAC